TATATATATAGGATAATCCGCTTCTATATTAACGTACATTTGTGGATGCCTGGACGACTCTACGCAGAGGTATGCATAGTCAACCAGGCTTACGTATGCGATTTTCTGGCTGTCAAATTCACACTCAAGCAAGAAGACAGTGTTGTATCTAGTTCGTTGCTATTATCACTATGCTATTGTTGCACGAGAATGCTCACCTTACAGTAGATATGCAGCTATCTTAGGTCGTATGAACATGGACATATATTTATACCTTATTGTATACGTGTATACATAGTCGAAAGTTTTTGAGTGTGTGTGTATTGGCGTATGCGCAGAGTACGTGCGTGTGATATTTAACGATTCATTCGCACGTTGGATATGTCCGAATATCGACATACATATGCATGTACATACATAGCTGTGGTAAAAGTGTACTCGCTTCTAATACGGGATACTTAAATACTCACAATCCAGTATAAAAGCGCATAAATATGTACATTAAACCCAAAGTAGCGTTATACTCATCCCTGATATGATACCCTGTGTGGTATCACATCAGTAGACTAGGCTGCTGGGTTCGAATCGATGGTAAGAGCCGCCTTGCACACCAAACATAGAAACACGCTTATATACACATACATAGCTAAAGTAAAATCGTACTTGTACCTGATATGCGATACTGACAACTCAGTATACAAACACATATAAATAGATATATGCATATGCATATATATATGCATATGCCTATACATATACATATACATACACATATGCATATACATATACATATACATATACATGTATATATACCTATAGATATACATATCATTTACATATACATATACATATACATATGCATGTACAACTACATATACATATACAACCAAAGAAGCACCTTGCTTGCGCCTGTTAAATAATACCTATATGGTGTTATATCACTGGAAATAGACGGCTGGGTTCGTGGCTGTGGTAAGAGCCGCCCTGCAGCTGAAGAAGAAGGATCGCGAAGGAGCACACGCCACACTGCACACAGCGAACGACGACATACACGCACGCTTGGCCGAGGCTCAGCTTATAATGGAGGAGACAGAAGGTGTGTGTTATACACTTGTATTAAACACAACATCCGTTGGGCGTAGTCTGTATCTGAGTGGCATGTGTTTATCTATTCGTGTTTGTATGTGTTGTATGTGTGTATGTCTTATATATATATATATATATATATATATATATATATATATATATATATATATATATATATATATATATATATATATATATATATATATATATTCTTGTATATATACATATATATTTGCTCATGTGTGCATGTTACTCCATCTACGTATTCGTTTGTTATTCATTGCACAGCTATGCATCAGGCCTCAAATGTTAATATCACATCACTACTTGATGTTATAGCTGCCTTACCCACACACACTTTATCATATAATTTGTTTGTACAAGTATGTATCTACCTCATCCCGTTCTGGTCTGTCATTTAGTTTGTTTATAGCTAGCTGGTACACGCACACTCTTATTTGCCCATATAAGTAGTATGTACAAGTAAGTCCTCCCTTTGTCCCAATCTCATCTGCCCTATATTTCGCAGGTCCGGGTCAGAGCTCAGAGTCCAGTGTCACGGCATTGCTGGATGTCATTGCTAAGTTAGAGGTGGATGGTGTTATGCATAGGTATCCCGCCATTACTGGTGCTGCGGTGGCCATATACTCCTGCCTCAATGGCCTGGAGCGCAGTAAACAAAGTGAGTGATATGCTATACAGATACAGAGAACAAAGTGAGTGATATGCTATACAGATACAGAGAACAAAGTGAGTGATATGCTATACAAATACAGAGAACAAAGTGAGTGATATTCTATACAGATACAGAGAACAAAGTGAGTGATATACTATGCAGCTACAGAGAATAAAGTGAGTAATATGCTATACAGATACAGAGGGCAAGGTGAGTGATATGCTATACAGATACAGAGGGCAAGGTGAGTGATATGT